CCTGGGGCTATGGGCAGGAGTCTGTCCTTTGGCCGGGGGTCTGTCTTGTGGCCGGGGGTCTGTCCCGCCCACCTTTGTGCTTCAGGCTGCAGTTGGCCTCGTCGCTCTTGTCGCTGCAGTCGTGGAAGCCGTCGCACACGAAGCCCAGCTGGAGGCAGAGCCCCCGGTCACACAGGTGCTCATCCCAGGCACAGCTCTCTGCACGCAGCCACAGACACCCAGGCTGCTGGGGGGGTTCTGCCGGGCACCCTGCCCTCCCCGCTGGCTCTCCCCGCTCCCTGCCAGCGGGGAGGGACCCTGGCAGTGCCCAGGGCCGGGCACTCACTCTCGGCGGGGTCCACGGCACGGTAGCGGGCACTGAAGCCCTGGGCGCCCACGCTGCCGTCGGACACGAAGGTGACCCGCAGGCGGTTCGAGTCGGTGTTGAAGGTGGGCGGGGGCACGTTGCCACAAAACCTGGGGGCACAGCAAGGGCTGGCACCGCTCGCTGCCCCCACGCTGCCACGCTCCCCGGGTGTGACGAGCCCTACCTGGCCGGGCTCCCCCGGGCTGGGGCAGGGGCTGTGCCACCCGTGCCCTGCTCTTCGTAGAGCTCCAGGCGGTCGAAGAGGCAGGAGGCCGTGCCCTCCACGCTGAACGTCTCCATCCTCAGCTGGATGGCGAGGCCGGCGCCCACCTCGATGTGCCAGATGCAGAGGGCGTTGGGGGGGTAGGGGCCGGGGTAGTTGGGGGAGCTGAAGGAGCCCTCGGGGCCCTGCAGGGTCCCTCCGCAGCCTGAACGAGGCGACAGCGTGGGCATGAGCCGGAGCAGGGCACCCCCATCCCAAAACGCTGCCCCGCTCGGGACTCACCCGGTTCTGCCGTGCGGGCCGTGGGCAGCCAGCTCTCGGTCGGGGTGGCAGCTGTTTTGGGGGCCGGGGGGTCCCTCCGGATGGGCGCTGTGGGGGTGGTGGCGGTGCCGCGGGCGGGCAGGGCCGTGGCCGGGGTACCGGGTGGGAGTGGGGACGTCAGCTCTGTGCCCAGGGAAGAGCAGGGACTGCTCAGCCCCAGCGGGGAGGGATGGCTGCGGTGCAGGGAAGGAGCTCAGGAAGCCCCCCCAGCCCTGTGCTCCCACCTTACCCACCGGCGTGCAGCTCCCAGGGGACCCCACACTGATGGGACACATCCCACGGACACGGAAATCCCCATGGCTGCTGTGCATGGGGTCACCCTCTCCCCACAGCGGGCACAGCCCGGGCTGTGCCCTGCGTGCCCCTCTCCCACTCGCAGCCGGCTCCGCGTCCCCTCGCTCGGCACTCACGGTGGATGACGATGCCGAGCAGGAGGGCGATGAGGAAGAGCAGGATGGCGCTCATCAGAGCCACGCAGAGCCAGGTGAACTTGCAGTCGGCGCGGTACCTCCAGCCCACCTGTGCCCAGAGCTGCCGGCCTGGGGGCGAGGGCAGCGGGCAGAGCGCTGCTGAGCCATTCCCGCAGCTCCCCGCACGGCCGGGCCCGTCCCCAGCGCTGTCCCCGCGGGGCTGATGTGTCCCCAGGCAGCCGCAGAGCCCAGCACCCCGCTCCTGCAGGGGTGGAGGGGATGTACAACCCCCCAGGCTGGTACCGAGGCCGTCCCGGCGTGGTTCGGGGCCGGTGCCATCCTTGTCCGGCGGGTGCTCCGCGCTCGGTGCCGCCCGGGGCTCCTCGCCCTCAAAAACGGGGTTGCAGAACTCGGTCTGTGGGACAGCGAGCGCGGGTGGCACCCTGGGGACCCGCGGGGGGACCATCAGCAGCACCCACACCCCGCAGCCCTACCTTGCTGCCGTCCAGAGCCTCGGGACAAAGCGTGATTTCGGTGAAGTCTTTCATGGCAGCGGGCGGGTCCCGGCGCAGCCTGGCTAAAATCCTGCCCGGTGCCCTGTGCCCCCCAGCCCCACCGCCCGCTCCTGCCCAGCTGCCCCCATGGGCGGCGTGGGGACCCCTGCTCCGCGCTGCGGGGCGGGCGCGGTGGCAGTGCCAGCCCTACGCGTGGCCCAGCGCCGGAGCCCACCCGAGGGCCATGCCCACCGCGCCGGGAGTGCGGGGAGCCCCGGCAGGCAGCAGCCCCGCTCCCCTCCGCAGGCCCCTTCCCCCTCGCCCCGTTAATCCAGCTCAGCTGAGGATGCCGAGGTCAGGCTCTGGCACGGAGAACCAGCGTCTTAAAGGGGAACGAGGGCTCGCACCCATCCCGCTGCCAGCCCGTCCCCGAGGACGCTGCTGCTGCTGCTGGGGTGCCAACTCGGCGCCTCGGTTTTGCAGCTGCCTGCGGCTCCTCGTGCTCAGGGCAGCGCTGAAGGGGCTGTGCTGGGGACCCCGGGCTGAGCGTGGCCCTCCTGCCCTCCTGCGCCATGCCACCTGCATTCCTGCTGCCCCTTAATGCCCGTCTCCTTCCCTAAGCAGGGGAGAAAGGGGCCATTGTTCAGGGGTTCGGAGGGAGGAGTGCGGGCTGGGAAGGTTCCTTCTGCCAGCTGCAGCCACATCTGCCCTGCTCCAGGCCAGCCCCGAGTGTTCCTGGTCCTGGGGCTGGTCCTGGCAGCTCCCCACCGCCTGCCAGACCACCCAGAGACAAAACACACGCACCCGAGGCCCTGTTCAAGCTCAAATTTATTCCTGTACGAGTCTCCCTTGTATGAGACACTTCCCACCCGTCTTGCTTACACAGTAAACAAGCCACCTGCCAAGCAGCATCGCTGCCCCAGCCCAGCTCCTGCTCGGGCAGCCCCCTTTCCCACCTGCCCCCTCTGAGCCCCGCTGGGATGCCCCAGGCAGGGCAGGATGCTGGTGCCAGCGCTCAGCCCGTGCCCGCAGGGCAGCGAGGCCGAAGCCGGCCGGGTGTGGGTTGGATGGAGCTGCTCCGAGGGCTGGGATGGTGCCCGTGTCTCCTCCCGCTGCACCTCAGGCAAGGCAGGACGGGGAGGAGAATAAATTAAAGGCTAAAAAGGCCACTGGCATTTGCTAGCTGGAGGACAGAGCAGCAGGGCGAGTCCCCGGGCACCCAGGAGGGCTCCTGATCACAGGGAGAAAAAAGCCCCGATTGCAGATGGTCCCGGAAAGCCACCGTCCTCCCCTCCCTCTCTGAGCGACCCCCGCGGCCCCCCACTCCCCTAAATGGTTTAAGGCACCGTCGTATGAGGAGGCAGGTAAAAACCTACCCGGAGCAGCCCCGGCACAAGTCCCTGGAGAGGCAGGAAGCGGCGAGGGGGCTCCAGGTTGAAGCAAAGTCCATTATAAATACATATAAATTCCACAAAATGGTTTCCTCCCTCCTGTCCATGAGTCTGGGCTCAGGATGCTTCGAGGAGTGTGTGTGGGGCAGCTGCAGGGGATGTGCTGCCTGAGACGGGACGGAGGCCACCGGAGGGCTGGAGTCCTTTGCCAGGAGGTTTGGAAGTGCCAGGAGGAGATCGGGAGCAGTTCACGAATCCTCTGGGACGGCCAAGCAGATAAAGGAGTGGCAAGAGGTCAGGAGGGACGTGTGAGGCTCTCCTGGGTGCTGTCCCAGGGGAGCAGAGGTCCTGGTTGAGTCAGTGGGACAGGTGGCCCCATTCCTGTAGAGTCCCTTGCTCAGGATTTTTATTACACACCAAGAGAAATAAAAGGAAAAAAGGAAAAAAGGAAAAAAGGAAAAAGGAAAAAAGAGAAAAGGAAAAAAGAGAAAAGGAAAAAAGAGAAAATACAGGGAAAAAAAGAGAAAAAACAGGGGGGAAAAAGATAAAAAAAACAGGAAAAAAAAGAAAAAGAAAAAGAAAGAAACTAAAACGCCGAGGTAAAACCCAAATGCCAGCAATCAGAGGCGCCTGAGCTGCCTGAGCCCTGTCCTGTCACGAGTCCCTCCTCAGCTCGGAGCTGGGGTGTCCTTGCCCAGGCTCTGCTCCTGGCTGTCCCCAGCCTCCCTCCGCAGCCACCTCGGGGGCGTCTCCTCTTCGCCTCCCCCTTGCTCTGGGGCCCGAATGCCCGGAGCCTCTGGCTCCGAGGGGTGGCCCAGGGCTTCCCCAGGGCTGGCTACATGCGGGAGGACGGGCTGGCCAGCTCGTAGAAGAGCAGGTAGGCATCGCTGCTGCGCACGTGGCTCGAGGACATGGGGGTGACGCTGCAGAGAGGGGAAGGGGAGAGCAGTGAGCAGCAGGGATGGCATGCCCTGAGCAGGGGGTCCCCGCTCGCTTGTGCCACGCCAGGCTCACCGGGAGTCGTTGAAGCTGTGCCACTCGCTGGACACGGGGCTCTTGCAGTAGGCCGTGTAGTGTCCCCCCATGGTGGTGCCCGAGTGGTTGGAGACGGCGTAGAGGTTGTAAACGGCGTGGTCTGTGGGGAGCAGGGGTGCTGCTCAGCCCTGCTGCCCCACAAAGTGCCAGCGCAGAGCCCCCCGCCCTGCCAGCAGCTCCAGCAGCCTGCATCCCGTGCCTCCCACCCCTGACGCCTCTGCCCCCAGCAGCTGGGCACACGAGGAGCCCAGGAGCTCCGGGCTGGGACTAGAGGCATGCAGGGGCTGGGACTCACTGCAGCTCTGCGAGGCGAATTCCCGGAGGTCCAGGTCCTTCAGCGGGAAGTTGACGAAGGTGGTGAGTTTGCTGCTTCGTATCCTGGCCTCAGAGAAGCGCTTCAGGTCTGGAGGGCCGCGTCAAGGAGCCACAGGGACAAAGGAGAGCCTGCAACAACCCATCTCTGCCCCCCACGACAGCCCCATCCCTCTGCCCGAAGGATACGAAGCACCAGGATCTTGGGGAACTTCTGGATGCTGAATTTTTTTGTGCACCTTGTCCTGGCTTTGCAGCGACAACACGTCTGTGGGAGGAAACGGCACAAGCAGGAGGGTGAGGGCACTGCCCACAGTGCTGGCAACACAAGCACAGAGGGGAAGGGGCCCAGCCTGCCCCAGGGAGCCCCCCTGCCCCATACCGGTTTCTCGTCCCCATCCAGCACGTCCTCTTTGGTGAAGAGCCGGAGGCAATCCATGAGCGTCACCTCCCCGTAGCCTTTCTGTGGGAGCACAGTGATGGTCAGGGACAGGGGGTGTGGGACAGGGGGTGTGGGACAGGGATTGTTGAGCCTCCCTCACCTTGGGGATGGGCAGGGACAGGTCCCAGAAGGGGTCGAAGGCTGTGGAGCAGTAGCCACACTCGCTGCAGGTCAGAGAGCTCTTCAGCTGCCCAACGAAGAGGTCTGGTGGGGTGGACAGAGCAGGGTGAGAGCCCTGGTTCCCCCCTCGCCCCCAGCCCAGCCCTGTCCTCCCTTCCCCCAGCCCTGCTCACCGCTGATGCGGCTGTCCTCCCTCTCCTGGTACCTCCTCCACATCTGCCGGCTCTTCTCGTCGTCACTGCGAGGATGGGGACACAGCGGGGCACTGAGCATGGCCCGGGGGACCCCAGCCCCACCACCCGGCCCAGAGGGACCCGTGAGGTCACTGTCCCTGGGCTGGCCTTGCGGGCAGTGAACTCTCCCGGGGCTCGTGCGGTGCCAGCACTTACGGGAGGTGATCCAGGCTGTCGGTGCTGGCCCGGGGCCGCACCAGCACGCGGTTCACCTCGCTGTGCAGCCCGTCCAGCAGGAACCGCAGGAACTCCTGTGCATCCTGCTGGCTGCAAGGCATGGGCACGGCCGGTGAGAGGCTGCAGGGGGCTCAGCTCCCCCACCGCCCTGCAGCCACCCCCCCTCACTTGTAGCCGACGAAGCGTGGGGCGTATCTCTGGATCTGCGTCTTGAACTCGGAGGGGCTCACGCTCTCGTTGGGGGACGAGGTCCAGAGCAGCTGGATCAGCTTTGCAAACTCTGCAGGCAGAGAGGAGGGTCAGCAGCGGAGGTGGCACGGCCGTGCCACCATGGCGACAGCTCAGGGCCACACTCTGGGGTCTCAGGGCCTGATCCTCCACTGGCTGGGCAGCCCAAGGAGCAGCACCGAGCTCTGGGTGGGCGTCCCACGGGATGTGGGGTGTCACAGGGGTGTGGGTGGGGGTCCTGCGGGATGTGGGGTGTTGCAGGGATGTGCTGCAGGGATTGTTGCAGGGATTGCTGCAGGGATTGCTGCAGGGATTGCTGCAGGGAAGCCCTTGCAGTCACCAGGGGCCGGGCCGGGCAGTTACCTGCCGTGAGTTACCTGTTGTGAGTTATCTGACATGAGTTACCTGCCGTGTGTTACCTGCCGTGTGTTACCTGACATGAGCTACCTGACATGCATTACCTGCCGTGCGTTACCTGACATGAGTTACCTGCCATGAGTTACTTGACATGAGTTACCTGCCATGAGTTACCTGCCATGAGTTACCTGCCGTGAGTTACCTGCCGTGCGTTACCTGCCATGAGTTACCTGCCCTGAGTTACCTGCCGTGCGTTACCTGCCATGAGTTACCTGCTGTGAGTTACCTGCCGTGCGTTACCTGCCGTGCATTACCTGCCATGAGTTACCTGCCGTGCGTTACCTGCCATGAGTTACCTGCCGTGCGTTACCTGCCGTGCATTACCTGCCCTGAGTTACCTGCCATGAGTTACCTGCCCTGAGTTACCTGCCATGAGTTACCTGCCGTGCGTTACCTGCCGTGCGTTACCTGCCGTGCGTTACCTGACATGAGCGCCGTGCGCATGCGGCTGTTGTTGTTGAGGTCCCGCAGGTACTGGTTCTGCAGGCAGTAATCCCGCAGCTCCTTGGTGTTGCTCAGGCACTGCAGGATGGAGTTCATGAAGCACTGGGGGAGGCAGAAGAGAAAACCATGGCAACGGGAGGCAGAGGGAGGCAGGCCGTGGCAGGGGGACACCTGGGCTGGGACGAAGCCGTGAGGAGCAGGGGAAGCTCTTCCTCCCGTGGGCAGAGGGGTGCGGGGAGATGCCAGGCTGCGGGTGGGGTGCTGGGGGCGAGGTGAAGGGACAGGGCTCCCCGTGCCCCACTGACGTGCCCGGTGCCAGCAGGGCTGGGGGCACACTCACCGTGTTGCCG